ACTTCAAACTCAGTGAAAGTTACATTCCATTTAACATAAGACTGGTGCTTCAGTTACAGTGTCTTCAAACAGTCTAATATTCCACAGCATGTAATCATGTATGTATACTATGACCAAATGAAGGCCACACTTTTATTTCCAAAACAGTGTCATATTAAGATAAGAATTTCCAAACAGTGCTTGTGCTGCAATCATACAGCAACCTTAATATTACATTTCATATAGTGTGTAAAGATACTAGTGTTTTCTACAATATATATATATTCTTGTGTGCACAGTGAAGTGTTAATGCCTGAAGTTGCAATGTCTTACACAGTTAATATCTAACACTGGAAACTGCAGGAAACTCCTACCCTGGGCTCATCAGAGCCTGCTCTCCCTCAGAGCCGTGCGTGTCCCCAGTGAGCAGAACCGCGCTGCGGATCTCATGTCACGAGGCAGACCTTAGCCCAGCAAGTGGAGGCTGAATCCGTCCCTCGTTCAGACACTGTGGGACAGGTTTGGCCTAGCGGTGGCAGGCCTGTTCACAGCACACGGGAACGCGCGGTGCCACCTCTGTTTTTCCACTGAACGCTCAAGAGGAATGGCTGTGCATCCTCCTGATAGCTCTGGAGCATGCAAGCGCTCTCTCATCTGCTCAGCGTGATCCAGCAGTGCCCCGTGTCAGGTAAACGGCTGTGGGCCTGGCCCCTGAACGGGAGTGACTGGAGAGCCTAAGGTTGAGTAACTAGAGTCTATAAGACTCAGTTGCCTCTGGCGGTCAGTGCACCAGAGCTGCATTACGGCACCTTAAGCTGCAAATGGTCAGTTTTTCAACATTGGTGCATGGAGAGGGGCACAGGTCCCACTTCTTGCCCACTGTCTTAAGGGCTGAATTTTTCTACAGATCCTGGTAAAAAGAAGCCTGGCTCTGTCTACTGTGTAAGCTATGCCACTGCCATCTCTTCATGCCAAGAAGGTTTTGGTGAGCGAATTGTGTTTTTTGCACACCCAGTGGTGAAACTCTTTCTCAGGGGCATAGGCAGAGAAGGCTGTGATGCGTGCAGTGGCACCTCAGTGGGATTTACCTCTGGTTTACATGCGCTCAGGGAACCCCTCTTTGAGCCCATAACAGAAATCTTTCTCAAACATCTCTCTCTGGAAACAGCACTTCTCTTAGCCCTAACTTTGGCTAAGCGAGTGGGCCATCTCTGCGCACTGTCTGTCTCACTGGCGTGCATTCTCATAGACAAAGATGGCAGCTCAGCCGTTCTGAGACCAAATCCTGCTTAAGCATTGAAAATAATAACTTACTTTGTTTGATCCAGAGTTATTATCTGGATATAATAATAATAATAATAATAATAATAATAATACTTTATTTATATAGCACTTTACAACCCGCAAAAGGAGCACAAAGTGCTTCACAGAACACATAAAAAAAACATAACTAGCATAACAGACCTTAAAAACAACAAGAAAAGGACATATCGACAAGATGGATGATAAAACAGCGGCAAAAGAGATATCTGGATTAGTTGTGAGCATGCCTAGGAGTCCATGACAGGAGCTGAGCTGCAGCATTCTGTACAAGTTGTAGCTTCCAAAGGAGGGATTTCCGGTGCGTTTTTAGAGTGAATGTGAATTTCAGACCCCTCCATGATTTCTAAGTGGGAGAACTTGCAAAATCGCAGGGTGTTCAAATACTTCTGTTCCTCACTATAATGTTATTTGCATAATCAGGACCATGTGATCAATGGTGTCAAAGGCTGCTGATAGATCTAGCAAAGCTAAAATGACAGGCTGCTTAGCATCAAGGGCCAAAGCAATGTCATTGTGGACCTTCAGCAGAGCAGATTCCGTGCTATGGTGGGGCTTAAATCCTGATTGAAATTTGTCACCAATATTAAGCTGATCTAAATGAGATTGCAGAAGAGGGAAATCGGGCGGAAATTAGATAAAAGAGAGGGATTGAGGTTGGACTTTTTTAGAAGTGGTCTCACTACCGTATGCTTGAGAGAGTCCGGAACCATGCCCAGCTCAAGGCAGGAATTGATGAATGTGACCAGAGTGGGGCCTATAGTATTGATGACCTCCTTGACCATCCTGGCAGGGACAGGGTCAAGGGGGGAAGAGGCAGGTTTTAGCAGTGAGACATATTTTTTGAGTTGGGG